GAAGGGTTTAATATGAGTTATTATTCCAATTGAAATGGATGTACTATTAATATGAGATGTAATCTCATTTAAATTATCTGGCTAGGTTCTGAGCCACGTTTATGAAATGAGTTGATAAGTAAAGTAAAGTGAAATGTAACATGGACATGTTTGTCATGGAACTGTAATATGATATAAATTGGTTTATAAGTGTTGACCATCTATCAAATGCTATATTTTTAGTCATTGCTTATAGTTGGTTTAGTATATTTCTACTGGGCTGTGGTTCACCCTATATGGGACATCATTTTCAGGTACAGATGGTATGCTACCTCCAAGGACGTAGTTTGGGAGGCTAGAGGCTGACAGACTTTTTTGTGCTATATTTTGTTGTATTACATGTAAATTCAAGCCGAGGGCTTAAAGTGTAATTGAGTTAGTACTCTATTTTGTGACCAAGTGTTGGCTTGGAAAGTTGTAAGCCCCTGGGGCATTTACTTTTGTTGTCAACATGTAATACTTCTGTACTTAATTACTCTGATGAATAGAAAGATGTTTATTTCCCTTGTATCAATGCATGTCAGGAATGGTGGGTTTTGTGTATTATTTTGAGGCCGTTACATTTGGGTTTTTGCAATTAAAGATCTTCTTTCTGGTATAGATAATGTCATGAGAGAGCTCACAACATTTATATAAAAGAAGGATATCAATGAAGTAGGCAAACCATGCAAAATTTATGGATATACGACAAAATTTATCATTTAATTAAGCAAAGAAACACTGATAAAACTTGATTATATTCATAATTCCTCTGTATTGATTTTGTTAGCTAGCAAACAAAATAATTCAAACAATCAAAGAAGAATAAGAAGAATTATGACAAAATTTATTACGTAATTAAGCAAAGAAAGCTTATACAGTGGAGAGTTCTAATAATGACCAGCAAAACATACCACTCAATTGGGGTTGGGTCAGATGCATGTGGCAACAGTTGGGAAGGAATTTATTGCCCCAATTCACGTGTGACATCTATATAAGTTGCTATTGTGTTTTACCTTTAATGCATTGTTGCTGTTTCCTTATTCTTCCTTTTGCTTCTGTTTGTTTTTAAGCTTCAGTTGCAGGTTCATGCTTCTGCTGTCTCTGTCTTTTGTTCCTTTCTTGTTGTTTGCTTGTTGTTTCTGTTCTTGCGATTTCCTTTTTGCTATCTTGTTGCTTTTTTGTCTCTTTGTTGTCTTTCTCTTCTTGCTTTTGTGTTTTTGCAGTTAAAGATCTTCTTTCTGGCATAGATAATGATATAAGAAAGCTCACAACATCTATATAAAAGAAGGATATCAATGAAGTAGGCAAACCATGCAAAATTTATGGATATACGACAAAATTTATCATTTAATTAAGGAAAGAAACACTGATAAAACTTGAATATATTCATAATTCCTATGTATTGATTTTGTTAGCTAGCAAACAAAATAATTCAAACAATCAAAGAAGAATAAGAAGAACTATGACAAAATTTATTACGTAATTAAGCAAAGAAAGCTTATACAGTGAAGAGTTCTAATAATGATCAGCAAAACAGACCACTCAATTGGGTTGGGTCAGATGCATGTAGCAATAGTTGGGAAGGAATTCATTGCACCAATTCGCGTGTAACATCTATATAAGTTGCTATTGTTTTTTACCTTTAATGCATTGTTGCTGTTTCCTTATTCTTTCTTTTGCTTCTGCTTGTTTTTCAGGTTCATTTACAGGTTCATGCTTCTGCTGTCTCTGTGTTTTGTTCCTTTCTTGTTGTTTGCTTGTTGTTTATGTTCTTGCGGTTTCCTCTTTGTTATCTTGTTGCTTTTTTGACTCATTGTTGTCTTCCTTTTCTCGCTTTTGTCTTTTTGCAATATAAGATCTTGTTTTTGGCCTAGATAATCTCTTACGAGAACTCGAAACATCTAGATGAAAGAGGTATATCAATGAATTAGGCAAACCATGCAAAATTTATGGATATACGACAAAATTATCATTTAATTAGGCAAAGAAACGTTGATAAAACTTGAATATATTCATAATTCCTCTGGATTCATTTTGTTAGTTAGAAAACAAAATAATTCAAACAATCAAATAAGAATAAAAAGAATTATGAAAATTAAGCTAATTTATCACTGAGGCAAATTCAGCAATAAAAAAGAAAAAGAAGAAAAATAGAATGTGGCAAATTCTTCCCCAAAAGAGATCAAATTTGTTTAAGTTGGTGAGTCTATTGACTATTGTGTCAATCATCTTCTGCCTACATCAAATTTTTGCAAATGTATCCCTACATTGAAATAGAGATGGATGTGTAAGTGATAAACTTATCAGTTGGTTTGGTATGTGAACCAAACTTATAAGTTGGTTTGATAAACTTATTAGTTGTATATTTATTTATGTATCTATTGTTACTATTATCTATATTGTCTATACTATTTATACTATTATATTATGTGAGCCCCTATATTGGTTTGTTGAAGCTTTTGCCATGTGGCATTTACATAATTTAAAAAAAAAAAAAACTAATCAAATTTTATTTGATGTCAATTACTCTCTTATGGGAACAAACAGTTACAGAACTACACCCTGTAGTATGGTTTAATTATCAAATCTATAAATTGGTTTGAGTCCGACAACAGAAAAAAGGTTTATCAGGGAAGCTGCCTTAATTTGGTGCACTTCCACTATAAGCTAAAAGTATTGCAAGGCTTCTATTTGTCGACTACATCAACAGCATGATTTGTATATTTAAGTTTGATAAAGATCATTCAGTTATTTTTTTCAATTGTTAGTACATCTGTATATGGTTTAAGCTATTTCTTTTAGTGGAATTTTAGTATGAAAATTTTCTCAAACAACCACTATCCAAAAAAAAAATATCAATTATAAAAATGTTACCAAAAGAGAGGTGTAGTTTATAATCGATCAAATACTAAACAAAAATCAGACAAAAAATTAATCCATAAGGTGCAAAAAAATTACAATTTTTGAGAAATTGGACATAGTGAAATAACAAAATAAAAAATAAAATAAAATATATCAAAAGAATGATGCAAGTTATTATCAATCAAATATTAAACAAAAGTCACACAAAATTTAATCTATAAAAAATTTCACACATGTACTGTGTGCACCGTTCTAATTACTATTATATATGTGAACAACTCATTTTAATCTCTTGAACCCACTCCCTACTTTAGTTTCTTGAACCGACTCCCTCCTTTTTTGTTAACTTATTTTTTTTGTATCAAAAATTAAAAAATATATATTTTAAAATGAACCTAATTTTGAACTTGAAAACCAACACCCTTATCACTTGATCAACGAACATTTTACATATTCACAAGTTTTATTTTCCGAAAATGCCCTAATATTGTTGAAATTTGCAAGTTGTAATTGAACCATATCTAGGATTTTTGAAAATGTGTTTGACTAGGGAGAGAAATAAGGGTTTCAGTTGCTTATGTTTTATAGGCATGTTTTCTCGAATTTTTTTGTTCGAATCGGTTGATTTGGTGTTCGAATTGCCTGAGTTGTGTTTGTTGTTCCGCCTGAGATTGGAAGGGATTCGCCGACGGTGGAGAATGAGAAAAACAAGGCTTCAATCGCGTGACTCAGGCTTTTGTTTCACCTTGTCTGGCAAATAAATTGTGTTAGAATAGTACCCTTTTTTTATTTTTTTTTTATCGGTGATAAATTTATCAATGGCAAATATCTTGGTACAATAGCAAGATATTTCGAGTTTTGCAATTCATTTTCAATTTAAATTGTTCAACATTTTAGTTTAGAAAATGCTTCAGCTTTCTCATATTCATATTCAGATGAAATATAAACATATTATATTTGGTATTGAAAAAAAATATTTGTAAAACTTATTAAAAAAAATTAAATTAGCTATCAACTTAAAATTAATAAAACCTGATTCTTAAATATTAGTATTTTGCATTGTAAAATTATAGTATGATCTTTGAACATTCTTGATCTCATGTGTAATTAAGTACAATAATTTTTTTTAATTTTTAAATTTTTTTTTTACGACTGTATTCTAAACCTTTTATTAATCTTTAAATTTGACGCAAATAATCAGATTATAATCAATTTTTTGAATGAAATTTGCATAAAACAAGACTGATATCAAAAGCCAAATCTGGTAACAAATGGCTAAAAAATATTGAATGTTTCATTGAAGCAAATTAAGAACCAAAATGATCAAAATAATGTAATGTTGTTTGTGTTTTAATTTTTAATTTAGGTAAATTTTTTATTTTTTTTATAGTGTTTTGTTTACTTGAATTGGGAAAAAAGAATGAGAGAGAGAGAGAGAGAGATTTTACAATAGTACTCTTTTTTTTTTTTATCAGTGGCAAATAACTTGCTACAATAGCAAGATGTTTTGAGTTTTGCAATTCATTTTCAGTTTAAATTGTTCAAATTTTAGTTTAGGAAATGCTTCAGCGTTCTCATGTTCAGATGAAATATAATACATGAGAATATTCTTGAGCATTCTTGAGCATTTTCATAACACATAATTCTTAAATATTAGTATTTTGCATTGTAAAATTATAATATGATTTTTCAACATTCTTGAGCTCATGTGTAAGTAACTACAAATAATTTTTTTTTTATAAATTTATTCTAACTGTACTTATATCTTATTTTAAAAAAATTTACAATGATCAAAACAATGTAATAGTGTTTGTTTTTTAATTTTCAATTTAGGTAAATTTTTTATTTTTTTATAGTGCTTTGTTTAATTGAGTTTGGAAAAAAGAATGGAGAGAAAGAGAGGTGCTGCTTTTTTTGTTTGAACAGTAAAAAATTTATCGGTGTTCACAGTGATAAATTTATCAGTGTAAGCAAAACACTATAAGAAAATAAATTTATTAGTATAGTGACTCCAAACCTGTTATTAAACTTTAAATTTGACACAAATAAGCAGATCATAATCAATTTTTTGAATGAAATTTGCATGAAACAATACCTATATCAAAAGCCAGATCTGGTAACAATATGGTTAAAAAAGACTGAATGTTTCATTGAAGCAAATTTGACATTGTAACAACCAAGCATTGTAATATTCATTGAAGCAAAGTAAGAACCAAAATGATTATAATCTTTGTCCCAAATTATTCAAGCATTGTTGTCATTGTCTATTGTGTCCCAAAACTCCTTGTCTTCAAGCACCGCTTCTATTGCCTCATCAACGATTTGCTGGGTGTCTGTCTGTTGGTTAGTCAACAAAGCATGTATGATATCTGCTCTGATTTACTGGCACTGCTCCTTTGTTAAGTTGGAAAAGATGTCTTTGTTACAGACATATTCTCTCATGAGGTAACAAACTATGACGCCACAATCAAGTCTACGATGACATTGGAAAAACAAAGTTAGTAGTCGTCAATGATAATTTTATCAATGTAATGTGTTTTGGTTTTCAGAAACTTACGAATGATCAACTTGTTAGGGACAATTCATTACAATTTCTATTTCTTCATGAAACTTGTTACCTTCAATGAGTTTAGGATTGTGATGTTGAAGGTATTTTTCAATAACCTTTCTCTGCAAAATATATTAATAATTAATTGGTGTTTGACAAATAAATGCATAATAAAATTTGATATAGACAAGGGGAATGGATGATATCATAATTAATTGGTGTTTTACCACTTTGTTTGCCTCATTTAAGTGGTTATCTGTTTCTGTGCTTGGTCTCATTGAATTGTAAAACTTCCATGAGCCATTTTCAGTATCGAGTACCAACAACGTCCAATGCTTTTCATTGAAAATTGAGAAAAGAAGATATATTTCCTTGACAGCTTCTAACATCATTTTTTTTCAACAATTGATTTGTTTCTGCCTCATCCTTTGTGGTGAACAAATACTGTGTTTTGCAAATATATTAGTTTTGATTACAATGTAATTCGTTAATGGTAATTTTATCACTATAAGGCTGGATGAATGGGAACTTATACACTTGATTTAGACAAGGGGAATGGATGATATCGTAATGAAATATATATATATATATATATATGTAATTTACTTACACGGCATGATGTAGTAAATATATATGTTGTTCCTGCTTGCGAGCTAAGGCTGAACTTTGGTTTCGGTTGCTCTTCTGCCATTAAGATTTCCTTGTATGCATTTGTTGCCTGTTTTAAAAACAAAAGCAAACAAGGTTAATAAGAGAATTATTATTTGGTATTACAATTGATTTATGCACAAATAAGGATTTGATTTTACATTTCCAGAAAGTTTTTCGTATTTGACTATTTTGTCAATATCATCCAAGTACAAATAGCTGCCTACTTCCTTTCCTTGTAAGATTGGATAACTGTAAATGTGAAAACAAAATTTATCACTGTATACCAAAATTTATTGCTCAATTAACGAAACCAAGGTTAGGGGAACAAATTGAGCATCAAATTTTACTTGATGTATCAAATCCGAACAATAAAATGAAGTACAAAACATAAACTCAAATGCCTAAATAATTTGATACCATAGATGAGACACCATAAAGATTAGCAAAATATATCACTCTACCAAATAAATTAAGTAAAATTTATCACTATGTAGCAAATTTTATCACTGTATATCAAAATTTATCAATGAATGAAGTAAACAAAGGTTATACATTGATAAATGCATGACTATATACTAAAATTTAGATTCCAAATTTGAAAATTTTAGGACCAAATCATGTTCTTACCTGCTGGTTTTTGTTGCCCAACGACTAGTGAGTTTCATCCTTGATTTCTTTGGCAATTTGTGAAACACTGGATAGGAAGTGTCAATTTGTTTTGTTGGATGTTGATGTTGTGTCTGCTCTTCTTTTTTGGTCTTTGCACTTTCTTCAACCATTGGTTCTATTTCATCAACTATCTTGTTCTGCTTTGGCTGTCTTTTCGTTATGTACCAAAAATCTGGATCTTTGTGTTTTTTTCTTGTTTCTCTATTTTTCACCCTTTTTTATCATTGAGCTCACAAGAGGCAATGTTTTAGGAGTGGTGGCTTTAACTTCAACTGCGATTTGTTCTTCTTGACTGTTCAGGTAGAAATTCGATTCAACCAACATTGTAATTCTCTTATTAAGTAGCACTATTTTCACATCTTTCACTTCCATTTGTGTCTTTGCTTTCTTGCTCTGTTCTTCCATTTGTTTACTGAGCTTCATGAGTTGGTCCTTAAGCTCATCATTTTCTGCTTGGATTCTTGCCTTCTCCATTTCTAGCCTTTGGATTATCAGGACATTCTCCTCTAGTTTCTGAAAGGTATGTTCATTAATTTTGACATGATAGATATTTGTTTCATTGGCAAGTTTCCTTTCTGTTTTCCTCTTTTCAGCCGGTGTTTGATGCTTGAATCCTGGTGAAGTTGTTGGACTAACTTTCTGTTTGATCATTGTTTATTCTTCATCATTTTCTAGGTTGTCAAAAGAAAGCTCATTTCTTTGCATATGAACTGGACCTTCTTTAGTTTCATGCTGAAAGTTGGCTTTCCTTCTTACATTCTTTTTTGATTGCAATGTTGTTGATTTCCTCTTTTTTCGAGCACCTGTTTGATGCTTGGGATTCGGTGAATTTCTTCCTGGATTGAGACTGAATATCTTTCTGATAATTGGTTCTTCTTCCTTTTCAGATAATTCAGTATGCTCTTGTTCCTCAAAGTTACATTATTCATCTTCATGCTCATCATCTGTTTGTGGTTGCAATTGTTTGTATATGTTCTATTCTTCAATTGTGTCTTTCAAATTGCTCTCCTACATGAATGAAAATTATTAAAAAGAATGATATGACGCAAAGTTAAGTAATAATTTATCATTTGGTGATTCAAATTTATAATAAGACTAGTGATTTGGTTCATGATAACAAGTTTTATTAGTGAATTAGCAACATTAAGCAAAATTTATCACTCAATGAAGCTAACTAAGAAAATTTATAACTATGAGCAAAAAGTTATCAGTCCATATCAAAATTTATCGATGTATAGCAAAATTCATCACTCAATTAAAGAAATAAAGGTTATACACTGATAAAACTTGTTTATTGAATAATTTCCTAGCACAGATGAAATGCCTAAATAATTATTCTACCACAAATGTGACACCATGAAGATTAAGAAGAATTTATCAGTCTTGCTAAAATTTATCACTGCATAACAAAATCTAATATTTGTTTAAACAAAACAAAGGATATCAATGGATACCTCAATATGTTTCAGATCATGCAAGGATGACTTTGCCAATTGTTCTCCCAGATGTGTAATGTTCCATTTTGCAAATCTTGGGATTGGGTTCTTATCATTTGGTTTGATGATCTTTGCATGCTCACATATCCAATACTGTTGAGGACAAAAAAAATGTTATAAATTAGTATTTAGTAAATGTAAATATTATAGTTTATAAGTTGTAAGTAAGGTATTTACTTACTAATAAGATGATCACACATCCGCACACTCTATCAATTTGGTTGATGTTGCGTGCTATTGATCTTGTAAGATGTTGTTTTGCTGCGCCACACCAATCATAAGACTTTATTTCATCAATATTCTCGAGGTATTTCATGAACCCCCAACCAATTGTTATCCTAGTACCCGAATACAACAAAAGCAAACAAACCAGAAGGCACACAAGCCTAACGACATCTTCTACATCTTCATTGTTGTTGCTTCTCAAAAGTTTCGTTATCAACTTTTGGATTGAAGCACTTGTCATTCTGCTCTCGGTTATTTCCTTCTTTGCACCATAGCTACCTCATTTTTTCTTCCGTATGCAAGATTCATCTTCTTTTGTCCACATGCAATCCCAAAAATTAACTTGAAGTCATTTCTTTTCAACTTCAGCTTCTTTCCAGCAATTTCAAATGTGGTTCCATCTATTTGGTAAGTTTGCAAAATTTTTGCAACCACATCATCATATTTAATTGAATCTCTTCTTTTAACCTTGTTTTCACTCAATGTATCAACCAGAAGTGAAAAATGTGTCTTTCTCAATAGTGTCAAATGCTCCTCTCTGAGTTTTGTTCTCTTGAAAAATTTGATAAGAGATTGAATGTTAGAACGGTAGACATACTTTGCTTCATTATCATGTATTTGTTCAGTCCTAGTTTTTCTTCCATCAATCTTTTTCTTCCCTCTTGCTTTGTGGAGCTCTGTAGCTTGTTTCAGTTGTTCCTATTTGGGCTCCTCATTGTCAATGTTAGATTCAGGTTTAACTTCTAGTTGATTTTCACTTTCATGTGTTGTTGGCTCTATAACAAACTCAACTTTCAATCTTTTTCTTCTTTGAGAAACTTGTTTCTCGACGACATAATCTTTTACGATGACTGGGAACATCTGTACAAAAACATTGAGCATGAATGAAAATTAAGAAGAATTTTATCACTGAACTAGGCAAACTAAGAAGAATTTATCACTCTATTATGCAAATTAAGTAAATATATAACTGTATAGCAAAGTTTAGATTCTAAATTGCAAAAGAACATGAAGTATCATGATGAAGATGAAAATAATTGTATAGCAAATTTTATCACTGAAATAGCAAAAGTAAGCAAATGCATCATTGTATAGCAAATGAACATAAATGTATGATTATTCTGACGTTGAATATCACTCATAAATTAATGTTGTATGGTACAGATTCAAAATAGCTTCAAGTCAAATTTTATCACTCAATTATAGTGATGAAAGAAGAAGGGAATCAAATCCATCGTTATAACAAATTTTATCACTCAATTAGCAAAATTAAGCAAATCTATCATTCTTATAGCAAATTTTCTCACTGATTTGGGCAAAGTAAGCAAATCTGGCATTGTATAGCAAATTTTATCACTAGATTAGCAAAAGTAAGCAAATCCATCATTGTATAGGAAATGAACATAAAGATGTGATTATTATAAAGTTGAATATCGCTCATAAATTAATATTGTATGGTACAGATTGGAAATAACTTCAAGTTGAATTGTATCACTCAATTATAGTTATGAGAGAAGAAGGGCGGCAAATCTATCATTATAACAAATTTTATCACTCAATTAGGAAAATTAAGCAAATCTATTATTCTTGTAACAAATTTTACCACTGAATTGGGCAAAGTAAGCAATCTATTTGTCACGCCCCAAACTCGCCCCTAAAAGTTCGGGCATGACTTAAGCAGAAATGGACACTTAACCTGGTATACATAACATATGGGGCTTGAACGGAAGCATTTAACAATATAAATTAACATAAATAAAAGAACTATATCCATTGAGCGACCACTATCATGCCAGGATCAAAAACGGAACATAACGCAAACAAACATACAGTGGCATGCATCTGAGAATTTATCTATGGACATATACATATACAGACCTAGCCCTTATAATTGGGCGTAACAAAAACAATAAGAAGAAAAAGGATTATATACACTACAACCTCAGACAAACAATCAGGGTACAAAACCAAAAGCTTAGCAAAACTCCATAAAATAGTTGCCTTCACTTAAGTGCCTGGACACTCCGAGGTTGACAAAAGAGGAACGGATGCCACGGGTTTTGACTGGCCTCCAGATGGAGTGCCTACAGAATAAACAAAACACAGGGTGAGTCAAGCTCAGTGAATAGTGATACGTAAACAATTTAATGATTAACTTGAATTATAATGTACAAACATAAGTGCAGAGAACACATAGTTAACTTAATATTGTAATTATTTTCAGAATGGTCTTAGGCTTAAACTTTAAACATAATGGCTTGAAACATAACATCTTGAAGCATAATGGCTGTAAGCCCTTGAATAGAGTGGCGTAAAGCCCTTGAACATTGTGGCGTGAAGCCCTTAAACATTGTGGCATCAAACCCTTGGATAATTTGGCGTTAAGCCCTTGAACATACTAGTATGAATTCAAGAGGTGTCTCACGCGGATTCTAGAGGTGACTCACAACGTAGCACTTAGTTCCGCGAAGCACTTTGCTTCATATCATAACAACTTATACAGAATGGCCATAGGCCTTATAACTTTCACATGTGTATGGATTCAAGAGGTGGCTCGTACGAATTCTAGAGGTGGCTCGCCTTGCAGCACTTAGTTTCATACAGCACTTTGTTCCATATTAGAAATACATAATGGCCTCTGGCCCAGACTGGCTTTAAGCCTAGTTCATGTATATATGGAACAGAATGGCCATAGGCCTTATAACTTTCACATGTGTATGGATTCAAGAGGTGGCTCGTACGAATTCTAGAGGTGGCTCGCCTTGCAGCACTTAGTTTCGTACAGCACTTTGTTCCATATTAAAAATACATAATGGCCTCTGGCCCAGACTGGCTTTAAGCCTGGTTCATGTATGTATGGACTCAAGAGGTGGCTCGCACGGATTCTAGAGGTGACTCGCATTGCCGCACTTAGTTCCGCACAGCACTTTGTTCCATATCCGAATTAGGTCGTGAAGACCGAATAATTCATATTATGTCAGTGCATAACATAAACAGAACGGATAAACAGAAACAAGGTCATACATGTTCTTAATTATGCTTGAATCATAACAGAAATCAAAATTCATGTTTGACTATACATGGTACATTGAATAGCGCTAATAAATCAATATAGAGCATACCTTTTAGTTCCGTAAAGGGACTTCCAGTAATACCTGAACCATGGGATTATTACCCCCGGGCAAGGGCCTTGTACTAAAGATGTCCTGAATACTTTGATATATATAAGGACAGTCATTTGCTGGTTCAAAACATACATATCAAAAAAATAAAGCATTTCTTGTTATATCGTTATCATTGTCATCACAGTACGTTTAACAGAGACAGAGCAATATACTTTCTAACGTGGTTTACATAATGATGATAAACCTTTACATTCATGTCGTAGATACTAAACGACTTCAAGTCTCTTAGTAGCAAAATAGTATGCTCTTATATTCATACCGTAAGGTGAATCAATATCATTGCTACTCAATTCTTGACATTTAAGGCAACCCATGGTTCTATCCGATTTTTATTTCGTTCCTTTCTAAGCAAATTTCTATGTCATGAAACATGTGTCGAACCAAATAAGATTATAAGGGTCCCTGATAGGACGTTCAAATATCATATCTCCATTAAGCGGAGTTTATAGTCATAATTTCTTCCCGTTATCTACTTGCATAGTATTAATACTTCTTGTACGGAGTCTTAGGTAATTTACAGGCTATAGCACATTAATAATAACCATTAACCATAAACAAAATGCAGAGGAATTCCAGAGTCATACCGAGGTACACATCATCTTTCAATGTTCTCACCGATCTTCAAACAACGTAAACGTTAACGTAATTGCTTATGTAAAACAGAACGTTAAGAATAAAATGGTTAACGGTAAGTAAACGTACAATTACAGTACTACTACTCACAGTGTTGAGGCGGAGCGCTACTTCCCACTGAAGCGTGTCCTACACACATACAAAGTTCACAAATTAACTTCCCTCTTTCCTTGTTAAATTACTTCCTGACTCATTACGTTTCGAATGAATTTACCGCCATCTTAAGATCATCAGAAAAATATTTTAAAAATATCAGAGGGTCGAGCACGTGAAACAGAGCTGAACATTTTTTTCAGCTTGGGCCGCACGTGCGGCAGTGAGCCCCGCACGTGCGGCGATCTGGACAGAATGCAATTCGAAATTCAGACAAAATCCCATTTTTTGGTGAGTATTCTTAAGGCTCAAATAGGTCCTTTAATTGATGAAGTATGGTTCAAAAATCATGTACATAGACATCATAACACATGACAATCTCAACATAACTTGGGTCTTGATCTTCACTACTACACTATTATTCATTTTCTGTAACATCTAAACACACACATAGATCCATTACACACATAAATGGATGCAAATATGTAGAACTAAGAATAGAATGCAATTTCCTTTACATGGTTTCAATTAACACCATTAATCAAATGATGAAAACACCTATTCAAACCCCAACTTATGTAAATACCCAAGAAATTCTTACCCATATTCAAGAGAGGAGTTAATTAAAGTATAATCAACATACCTTGAGCTTTTAAATCCCTCAAACCTTCTCAATCTCTTCCTTAGATGACTTCTCTTCTTTCTCCCTCATTCTCCTCTCCTAACCCTCTCAGGAGATATTTTAGTTTTTAGGTTCAAAGTCAAATGACTTAAGCATGCATATATATTATGTCAAATGGCTAAAGAATTCATTATATATATAACAATTGAATAGGACAAAACTGATTCAGTTTAATCACTCCGAATTGGAATTTCACAAAAATGCTTATCATGGCTTAAAAATCATGCTGATCTCAAATATAAAATTAATTTCGAATTATTGATCTCCTAAGGCTTTCAATTCCTGATCCAACCATTTTAATTGTGACAGATATGTTTTCTTATTAAATAGATATAAATCTATAATCATAAAGTTTACTTAATTACACTTAATTCTACATGGAGTTTCACAATAAGCATATAAAGGCACAGATTCAGGGACTGAAAGTATACCAGAATCATAAACAAGGGTCGGGTTATTACACTATTATTGTATATCAAATTTTATCACTGAATTAGCAAAAGTAAGCAAATCCATCATTGTATAGCAAATGAACATGAAGATGTGATTATTATGAAGTTAAATATCACTCATAAATTAATACTATATGATACACATTGAAAATAGCTTCAAGCCGAATTTTATAACTCAATTTATGTTATGAAAGAAGAAGGGAAGCAAATCTATAGTTATGAAATAAGAAGAGAAGCAAATCCATCATTATAACAAATTTCATCACTCAATTAGGAAAATTAAGCAAACCTATCATTCTTATAGCAATTTTTCTCACTAAATTGGACAAAGTAAGCAAATCTGTTATTGTATATCAAATTTTATCACTGAATTAGCAAAAGTAAGCAAATCCATAATTGTATAGCAAATGAACATGAAGATGTGATTATGAAGTTGAATATCAATCATAAATTAGTACTGTATAATACACATTGAAAATAGTTTCAAGTTTAATTTTATAACTCAATTATAGTTATGAAAGAAGAAGGGAAGCAAATCTATCATTATAACAAATTTTATCACTCAATTAAGAAAATTAAGCAAACTCTTATAGCAAATTTTCTCACTGAATTGGGCAAAATAAGCAAATCTGTTATTGTATAGAAAATAAACATGAATATGTGATTATTATGAAATGGAATATCACTTAATTATAGTTATAAAAGAAGAACGGAAAATGAATACGACTCACGTTTGATTCGCATGTTTGTTGAAGATGAACTAAACAGGGAATATAGATCGAAACGGTGAAGGATTTGTTGGGGATCTGTTCGGAATCAGAATATAGATCGAAACAGATGTGATTTCTTTGGAAATGATGGGAGATTCAAGGAAAATCTCTTCGTTTGTTTCGATTTCCAAATCGCAAATCGCCTCAAAATGGTTTCCAAATCGCCTCAAAATACTTTCCAAATCAGAACAATTGAGAAAGAGCGTGTGTTTCATGCGCATAGGGGAGACCTCGTGATATGTTCTTTACATCACGCGTGTGGTGTGACTTTGAGGGGTAAAATTGAAAACTGAAATAAGGCAAGACTTGGTGGGTATTAATTTGTTTGCATGGGACCAACTGGTAAGGCCCCCTTATTTTTTTTGGTTGGAAAGAAGAGACTTGGCCATCTAAAGAGACTTGGGCCATCTAATTAATAGATGGACCCATACAACACTTATTTTGTTGGTTGGAAACAAGAGACTTGGGCCATCTAATGAATAGATGAGGCACATACTACTTGACAATAACAAAAGCAAAAGTAGGGGCCATCTTTCTTAAATAATTATATATAAAAGTTGTGTGTTCGTAAAATAAAAAGAAGATAGATGAACTGTCATACAAAATGTACTGAACTCCAACATTTTTATGCTCATCTTAAAATATAAACTTAAAAATATTTATATGGAAAGAAATATAATGGGCTAATAACAACATAAACATAATCTAGAGACTTTAAAACTTTAATTCTTACTGTTATGTATGAGTATATTATTAGTAATTTAGGGGTGATTGGGATGATTTAAATAAGTGTACTTTTTGATTTTTTATGAAATATGGGTTGAGTATGTATTAGGTTTGATGTGATGTGGTAGAGAGGTGATGTGACTTAAAGAAGATTATGTGACTTAAGGGTTGTTTGGGATATTTTAAATAAGTACACTTTTTAACTTTTTATGAAATATGAGTTGGGTTTGAATTGACGTTGTAGAGAGGTGATGTGACTTAAATACGATGATATGACTTAAATAGGATAGTGACTTTTTAACTTTTTGACTTTTTTAATATGTGTCAAACAAGACCTTAAATAGGATAGTGACAGTGTGACTTTTTTAAGTTATGACAACTAACACCTTAATATAATAGATCTTGTTATTAATATTCGTTTTTAATATACAATCATGCTAGAGACCACTAATTTGGTGGCTCTAAACTCACCACTAATGAGGTGGAAAAGTAAAAAAAAAAAAAAAGACACAACACATGCTGTGGCAGTAGATGGGACCCACTGCCACATCATTTCACATTAATTTTGCTTTAACATAATACTAACATATGAAATAATACAGACGACTAATATAACATTATATATAAACTTGCAAATTTATAGAAAGCAATATAAGAGACTAGTTGTTATAGTTCAAAAAAAAAAAGACTAGTTGTTTAACACAGCACTTGGGTTGGGTGTGGCATAAGCTAGCAACTCTTGATCAGCTTCAAACAATGCCATGTCCTATTCAATCAGATTCACCCAAATCTCAACTCCTTCACCACCTCTTGCATCTATTAGTGCAATTCCAACTGGGCCACCATCATCAGTTGGACTCACCCATGTCGGCTTCCCCCATCCAAAATCAATTTCATACATGGGAAACCTACACCAACTGCTATGCGTATACATCTCCATATCATCTCCCTTAACCTGCCTGA